ACCATCGCTGCGTGGAAGATGTGCAAGGAACGAACAGTCAATCAAACATTACATCCCCAAACCCATCCCCAATCAACTTCCATTCGACAACTGACAAGTTGACACTTACAGACAGGCGTAGTATTTGTCACACTGCTTGCTGTCCGGATAGAAGCCATTTGCCTCCGGGCACTCCTCGCTGGGCTCGTACTCGACCGCCTCCTGCTTGCGCTTGGGCACCACAGCCGCCTCCCCCACGGGGTCGCGATCGCGAGGTGGAAAGTGTCGCTGCGATGGCGGATGACCCGCACCAATGCGGAATTGTCCACGGTACTTGGCCTGCTGTCCGATCGTTGTTTGGACGACTGCAAAGAGAGGCGAGAGGCGAGAGACCGGTTAGGCTTACCAAATGTTTGGCTCAGTGTGGATTTGTTATTTTTTGTTGTTTAAGCGCAAGAAACCAGTTTGAAACGACTCAAAATACATATGCAGAAATATGTACAAACATACATTTATGCATACATTTTATGTACATGTGTATGCATATGAGTTAGCGCTTGCTCCGTTGGCTTTTTGCGCTTTGTTGGCCAATATTGCGACATTGCGACCTTAAAAGTGAAAGTCCCTTGTAGACAGCTGTTTTCAAGCCGCATCAGCTGTTGGCCTTGAACCCAAGACAGCGCTCAATCAGCGGTAAAATGTTTCAATGTTTCAGCCATGCACTTCCGACAACAACTGCAAGGAGCCGGGAGCACTGCTCAAGGTAAACCACTCCAATCAGGCTTGGCGTAAACTGAGTTCGAGAAACACGTAAAAGAAACCACCACGTTGCCTGATGCTGACGTTGCGCTGCCTGACATTCGATTAAACGTTAATAAAGAAACAATTCCACACAGCAATTAGTGCGTGAAGTGCCAGCCAGGCAACATTTAAGCCAGGCAGGCAGCAGCAGCAACAACTAAAACAAGAACCTCGCCACGACAGCAACAACAACAACAACAAGAAGAACGACAGAAAATGCCAAAGTCGACGCCGACGGCGTTGGTGTCGCTCGCTGCTCATGCCGCTGCAGCTGTCGCTGCTTGTCATTGAAACATGTTTCGTACACGGGACGGGCAACAAAAAAAGAAACAGGAAAAAGTACCAAAAGCTTTCAAAGTTGAGCTGCCTAATACTCTATTAAATGCGCACAAAGTGATAGCTCGGGAAATTCCTGCAGCCACGAGCAAGACTTAAAAAAGTTGCTGCTAATTTATAATTTTGTTCCTTTTAAAATTTCATTGAAACTGTGACCCTGGCCAAGGGCATTTCCTTTTCGGTTTGGCGCTCATATGAAGTTGATCTCCCTTTTTGTGGTACTCTTTTTTTTTGGCTGCAGATGAGTGTGTCGCAGAGCGTGGCCTATGCGGTTTGAGTTGCTGACTTGGACCCGGCCCCGGCACTGACAGCCGCTCCGACAGTTTGTCAACAAGTTTGTCATAGAGTCAGGCGGAGCCCGTTGCCAGCCCCGTTTGACTTGGTTTCCAGTCCGGTTAAACTAGATTAATTGAGTGCCTATGCCTGTGCCCGTGCCTGTGCCCGGGTTTTGGGCCCTCTCTGAACTTTTTCTGTGCTCCGTTTTCTTTCGGCAATTGAATTCAAGTCACACACACACGTTGTGGGTGTTGAAGCGCTGTGCATGTCGCACGCGTGTTGAGTTCATTGAACAATAAAAAGATTAAAAATAAACAGTTTGAAGATGGTTTTTTTTCAAGTCATTCATTGAACACACCTTCGGGCTGAGCTTACAAAATTGTGCAATTGAATGTTAAAATATTTTAGGATAAAAATTTCAACACCAACCCGAAACTAAATAAATTATAAACTCTTTGCATACATGAGCTTCAATTAAATTAAAACTTTTCCATTGTTTCGTCGCAGTTTTCGCTGCACGACAGGCGTTTTTCCAGAGTACAGATTTAATTTATGCCATTTCCCGTATGAGTGTGCCGCAGATCCGAGAATTGCAATACATTCAATTATGAGCTGCCACTATTTTCAATATTTCTCATGGCCATTTTAATGTAATTACAAAATTCGGCTTACGCCCACGCACACACACGTGCAACAGTTGCTTGCACATCAATTTGTTAACAATATGAAATTTGAATGCTCTGCATAGTTGGGGGGCATTACGGGGGAGACAAACAAACTTTTAATGAGCTTTCACACAATAAGCGAGCATACAATTGCACGAATTTCGTATTGCATTTTTGGGTGCGGCCTTGACAACTAACCGAATGCTATGCAAATTGACAACTACAACAAGTGTCGGACACGGAGCAGGGCTTTTGTCTCTTTACACGTGTATTGCTGCCATCGAAATCAGACACACAAATTGACATGGTTCGAGTGCAGATATAAACATAAACAAGAGCTAACAGCAAACAAATAATTTTAACCACAAAATGTCCAGCTTAGATGGTGGCACGGAAGAGTTTTTCAAATGTCTGGCTTGGTCCATTCAACATTTGCATATTGTTCCATTTGCTGGTGGATTGTTTATTTGCTTTCGGTTTCAACAATTAGACGGCGATTGTGTGTGGGATTGTGTGTTTGTGTGCAGAGCATTAAAGTCAGAATAAATTATGGAAAAATGTATTGGTGAATGGGAAGCATACTGTGTTAACGACGTATTATTAATTGGGAAATGCAATTAAGTGCTTTTTTTTGTTCAGACTTACCCACAGCCAAAGAGAGCGCAAATATGCAAATTTTCAAAAGCGCCATTTTATTAGCCAACGTAAACCTGCACGGACAGATAGTTTAATTTATAAACTCCAATTAAAATTCCTTCAGACACTTTAAAAACGCATTTGATGCAATGCGAAAGCCTTTTCCATGAAATTCACTTTTTGCACTCCTTTCCAGTTTACCTCGTCCGCTGTCGGACTGCACTCACCAAGCTTTGGGCCCACTTGGAGCTTGAAAGCGGATTTAAGCCAATCTTTTATTGTTTATTAAAACCCGTTATCGTGAACATACATTGAGTGCAAAGAAGGAGCTCAAGCTGCGTTCGACTTGAGTGATTTCGGGATTTGCATGGGAAAAATACTCAATACCAAAACGCAATTACGAGCCAGAGAGAGCGAGCAAGAGAGAGCGTGCTCGTGAGAGTATCTCTGTTAATGCGCTGTTAAGTGCGGCTCAGCAAAGCTTTTTTCGCTCACTGCCGATCGAAAGCCGTTCTCTTTATTTCATTTCCAAGAAAAGTTCAACTTAAAGAGAATCATTTAAAAATGTAGCATGTGAAATGCAAATGAAACAAACTCCGAGCTTGCGCTTGAAAACATTTATGTGAAAGCAAACTGAACCATGTGCCACTAACATCAACAATTCCAATAAGCTGTAAACAAATGGGGAGCAGCTCCCCAAAGAAAAGCAGCAACACAAATATCCCACCAAAAGCAACAACAAATTTTCAGTCGCAAACGGAGCTACCCAGGAGAGATTTTACAAAGTTGTAACGGGCCCATCCACTTGCGAGCAGAGCCGGAATGGGGAAATTTGTCAAAAAGAAGACAGGACGTGCTCCATCGATGATTTGCATTTTGGAAATTAACCAAAAAATATGACAAAATGCCGCACACAAGGGATCTCTGCAGGTGGCTCCAACTACGTTTGCTGCATCATTGTGCAGGCACAAAACACATTTAACTTGTCAAAGCTTTCGGCACACACACACACACAGACACACACTACTTGGGGCACGACCTTCCCGGAGCTCGCTCGTTTTCCAGCTCCTTGGTTTTCATTTGCCTGTCATTTGGTGTGCAATAATTGTGACAAATTGTTCTTTTCTCCGTCCGCCCCAACCAAAAGTAAGGGAAGCTTTATATGTAAATGGCATAATTAAGTGGAATGGCATAAATAAGGATAGTTGGTGCTTAAAGAAAATGATGCGTGCAAATGGAACAAGGCATAATCCAGCGTAAAAGTCGCAAAAAATTGTATGCTTCGGGATGTTTAAACTCTAAAATATGCTTTATAAAGAGTGCAAAATGGAGTGGAATTAGCCACGATTACACACACAATGGAAAATTAAAACGTTGCGCTTGCAGAATTCCGTTTTTGTCCTTCCAGGTTCCAGTGCTCAGGGGTGGAGCTATTTCAATGACACCCGCTTCAATGCTTCAGCTTATGCCCTGGCTGTGGCTGCCTTTCTCTCTCTCTCTTTGAGTCTTGCCAACTGCTGACTGCGGTCGAACCAAACTTTACCCAAAAGCTAATCATAATTTCTTGCTGATAGTTCGGACAAGTCCTTGTGCACGCCCCGCCACAGCTTGCACTTTTTTATCTATCCTCCCGCGTTATTATTATTTTCAATTTCTGGGCAACCGCAGCGCCCTAAGCGCCACGTTATTGTCGTATAATTGAATATAATGGCAACTGGCACTGCTCTCCAGGGAGTACTATTCAATAGCTGTGTTAGCCCTCGGCTATCGCGACAGTCTTCCGCTGTGTCCGCAACAATGCGTTTCCCCTGGGGGAAACTGCTCACTCACTGCTCCTCGCATCAAAGTTACAGCTGCAAAGTGTTTCTGCAAATATGCAGGTTACATCTGTCTGATGCATTCTTTCTTTGTTGTTGTACTGCTGTTAAGCCCTGGCAGATTTTCACTTAAATCGAATTGCCGCAAAGTATCCAATGATTTATATCATAATCCTGTCACATGCTTTACTGATTCAATACATAAACTCCAGGGGGGGGGGGGGGGGGGGGGGGGGGGGGGGACCTGGGGGCAAGCCACCAACGCCACAGACCCTGCACGGTCCGCGTCATATTCCTGTCAGCGAGTCGATTTTGAATTGTCAGTAGCATGCCACACACGTGTCACGTGCATCATTGGAGTCGCTATGGCACGGCAGCTGTTGTTGATTTCCCTTTTCCCTTTTTACATTCTTAATTAATGAGCAGCGTGCCCCGCAGTGCACTGGTAACTGCGAGATAGCTGAAAATCTGAAACTAAGCCTCTGTTTTGTCATGTTTGGAGCTGTGTGCAGGGCATCAGCATTTATAATTGGGATTATGCATTGTTTGGTTTACATAAGTAGGCGACTGCGCAATTTAAATGACAATTTTCCATTGGAAAACACTTTCAATGAACAATGGACAGCAGCAGTGACGACGACGTGGTTGGGCGGTTGGTCCCGCCACTAATCAGATCATGAGATAATGCCAGTCCACCCTTCAGTGCAGTGCAGTGGCCCGGGAGGGCACTGTGGAGCAAGTGCTCCACACTGTCCTCTCGGACCACTCATAGCTGACGTCGGCGCTCACGACTCTGCCTGTGCAGCAGCATGTCACGATAGTCCCGCGATTGCCACACATGATGACGCTTCAGATCAGCTTCATTAGCTGGCATGTAGGCAAAGAACGTGTCCCCAATGTGGCCACCCAGATGGGAGTCACCGCGCAGTGCCAGCCACGTCAGACGCGTTTCCTCCAGCGCCAACTGATTCAGCTTCCCGTAATACTCGCTCTTCGTTTGCTTGGCCTCGCACATGAGCGCCTTTTTGTGGGCATAGCTGACCAATTCGTGGTTGGTGGGAATTTTGCCATTCATCAACCGCTTCTGGCGTGCCGCTTCCTTCTGTTGGATCTTTTCGATCAGTTGGCACGAGGACTTCGCCAAGTCTTGCATCTCCTGGCGTGTGTAGCGCTTGCCATAACGATTCGACACCCAATCTATCAGCATGGGCAGCCTGTGTGCATTGGGAAATGTTGCCAGCACATAATTGGGATTTGTTTTCATCAGCTTCAGCGCTGACTTAAGCAGTTCCTCGATCTGTTGTCTGTCATTCGGATCAATGAGCTTCACTTGCTCAAGCTCCACTTGCTGATCTCCGCCAGCTGCCACTGAAGTTTCCTTTTGGGACACTTTTTCCTTAAATAGTCCCATGGCGCAGTTGGCGGCTGCTTGGAGCACAGCTTTCGGGGACCATTCGTGCTCTTTCTGGGTCCTTGGACTCTCATCGCTGCTGCAGCTGCTGTTTAGGGCGGCAATGAAAAGTTTCTTAATTAGCGGCTGCTTGTCCTCCAGATCGATGGGAAAGTCATCCGAATGCGGCTGCACATCCTGCACGTCATGCAGTGCTGCCAGATTAAATATCTTAAGGTAATCAAACCCCAAACCATGATTGTTCCTTGTGGTAAAACAGTCTGGCTCGGGGTAAACCTTCCCCTTAAGCGGACACTCCAGAGTACGACTGCAGGGAGGAATGAGTTCGCTCAAATTTTTAAAGTCTGAGCTGAGAACCTTGGAACCTTCTTGGGTTTGCCGCGTTCTTCTCTTGCTAAGCCTGGACGTCTTACGGGTCTTTCTTCTGTGCGAGTGTTTGTGCCCTTTGCTGGATTTAATTACTAACTCATTACCGTCCAACAGTTGGCAGTCTCCAGCACCACATTGGCTGATGGGATGGTCCGCACCGCCTTGCAGCTCCACCACTTTAACCAGTCCTTCGCCCTGGGGCAGCGGATGTGCAATTGGATTCAAATCAGATCCCAAAAGTAGCGACAAATTGGCCTTATCGGCTCTCTTCATATGAGGCGTGACAACGAGTTGAGTGCACAGCTGACACGATCCGTTCAGCCTCCCATTGCGGATTTTTGCCACTTCTATAAGCTTTCGCCTCGAGAAGTGTCGAATCTTGTCAGCTGCGCACTCGATTTCCTTTTCCAGTTGTTGGATGACCCGCTTGCGGGATGCCTTCAGGTCGGAGCCGGAGACGTCGAGTAGGGACAGATATCTCTGGAAAACTGCCTCGGACATCTCCTCCTGCCTTTTTGTCGCTGCCTCCCTGACTAAACGATGGGTGTGACACAGGGACTCCTCCGCCCTCTCAATGGGTTCCAAAATCAGGCGATTGAGCTCATCCGAAAGCAGTTTCTTGACCACCCTCTTGGCGGGTGACAGCTGGTAATGTGAGAACCAACGTGAAGTCTCCTCTGGCACTTCGTACATCCCATTGTATGTGGCGTATTCGGGAAATTGCAGCTTGCCATCGGGCGGTCCCAAGTGTCTCTTCTGCAGCGGCTTCGGCAGCTGCTTTGGCCGCGGCAGTGGAGCAAAATATGGATTCAAATATCCACTGCCTTTGGGCTTAGGCTGTGCCACCTGTGCCACCTGTGCCACCTGTGCCACCTGTGCCGATTCGTGCTTTATTGTCGCACATCCCGCGGGTCGCTGCACCTTCTTAGAGTGCGTAGCCGGTGGCAGCAATCGATCCAACTCCCGCAACGTGGCCGGCATGTCCAGATGGGCAATGGCCGAGAGCAGCAGCTGCTCGTTTACCGTGAAATTTGTGGGGCCGTCCTCAGAGATCGGCTTGTACTCGGCCTCCCACAGGAAGTACAGGAAGGCCAGCTCGCTGCCATGGCTGATTTTCATGATAGTCTTGATGCGGCAAGACGACACCATGGGCCGCAGACCCAAGCTGTTCATGCAGCCTGACACGCGATACGTGGACTCCTGTTCCGTGTCGTCGCGCAGGGCGCGGAAGAGCCTGTCGCAGGCACCGATCTGATCCCGCGACAAGCCACGCAGCCACTTGACACTTTGACTCTCTGCAAATGTTCCCAGCCCGGCTTCAGCGGCTTCAGGCATATCCCTTTTTTTTTCTTTGTAAATTGTTCACTTGAAATTTAGTTGTAAGAGTACTTACTCACATATTGCTTTTGGGAATTTGTTGTACCTGATTTAGCTCTATTTCCGGGCATCTCCTTTGCTGCACTCAAGAGTCAATCCTTGGGGATTGAAGCCAATGTTAATTGCTGTCATGGAAGTTGTGCAAAAGCAAATCAAGAGCCTTTTACGTTTTAAAACGAAATCTAATTCAATTAAGCAGCTTAACTGGCCGCAGCACAATGAAATAACCGCAAAGCGAAAGGACAAGGAGAAAGCAGACGCTGGGCACAGGATATAACTTGACTCGACTCTGGGCTAAGCAAGCGAGCGAGCGACTGCCATGCGGCTACATGATTGCATTTGGTTGTCGTTTGTAATTGCCTGTACTTAAAAACTCATCAGACACAACGACAATGCGGCAAATGGTTGGGAGCCTGCACTGCCATCAGCAGCAGCCACCATCGCCCTCAACCAGGCCAACAGAGTTAAGGACAGTTTTATCAACTGCAGGACAAATATTGTTGCATACCCCCAGGAGTTGGGCCCTAGACCAAGCCCGAGCCAGTTGCTTGTTTTGTGTAGCGTTGTTTAGTTTTGTTAGCACTTTATGCAAAATGGCGACTGTTTCGATGTTTGTCTTGCAGTGCGACAACAAGTGGGCCAGCACTGATATCCCTTGCCACAAGCCCCTACATCAGGGTACCCTCTGATGGCGCATGGCAAAAGTATTTAATCAACACCCAGTGTGGCATTTGAAGTACATTCAAAATGAGTTTAAATTGCTCTTTACCGCTCAAATGCCAGCTCTCGTGGCAATTAGTCGCATTGTGGTGCGAAGTCTGAGTTATGCTTTCAGCGTACAGTTTGCATACAAATAAGACGGGCGACAAAAACTTTGCCAATGCCCCCGCCCCTGATGAAGTTACAACATCTGCGGCATGGAACGCATTTTGCATTTTTAATGGAGTCTCAATCTATGCAATTATGAAATTTAATGTGCACACAGTTTTGAGCAGTTTCATCCACAGACAGGTAACTGCTTCAGCACGTCCTTGCCACCGGTCCAGAGCAGTTTGAGTTTCGCTCATCAGAGTTGGAGGTTGCTTGAGTCTACCAACAGCAGCCTTTCTGCTGCTGATTGGAAACCGTATCAGTTGTTGCCATTTTATTTGCGCATAAATAAAGGATCTGGCCAGCCACAATGTTGCCCAACTTCGACCACAGGTGGGGGACAGCGGCGGACAGGGCCAATCATATAAAACTTCACAGAGGATTCTGGGGCTCTGTCAACTTTGCTCACCGCAGCAATCCTCCAATGTGCACTGCACAAGGCAAAGGCTGGTTGCTGGTTGCTGGTTGCTTGTTGGTGGACCTAATGGACGATGACTAGACCGACTGGGACCAGCGCCTGGAACTATGCTTTGAACTTAATTAGCTGCACATTACGAATTTTTACTGCCAGAGTCGGTTGCTGCAGTCAGTCCTTGCCACTTCCTCTGGCCATTTTACGGCAGGACTAATTCTTGTTTTCGACAACGACGCCAACAGCAGCAAGGGGTTGTAGCAGCCACCCCCCTCGCCGCCTTACACATGAAAAGAAAAGGGGGAAGGAAGGAAGCGAGGAAGCGAGGAAGCGAGGCAGGGGGCTGGGGGCTGGGGGGCTGCAGGTAGGAAATGTCATACCACGGGCTGCACAGGCTGCGCGTCCTCGACGCCAAAGGAAATGTTACTCAGATTAAATGCACTGCACCGACCATGGCGATGGGGTCGGTGATATATATACAGAGAGAGGAGGGGGCAGGCGGTCAAGGCGTGATTATGCTGTGACACCCCATGGCCAACTCCTGCTGATTCCACTCCAGTGGCAGCTCCTGCTCCTGCTGCTGCTCCTGCCCCACAATTTCTGAGGCTTTGTCCGGCGTGTAAAATGAATTTATGCAGCACAAATATTTCCAGCTACATTTTTTCTTCTTTTAGCTGTAATTAAGCAAAAATGCCGAGCGGAATGTTTAAGATTATTAGCAACAAAAAAACGCTTTGGCTCTTGGTTATTTAATGCCGATACAGAGGGGTAACCTGATATGGCTTTATCAAGCAAACGGCCATTGAACACTGGAAACTCAAGTTTATAATTGCCACACTTTGGCATAGAGAGAGAGAGCAGGGAGAACCGTTCTCTTCACTTTTGCGAGCATAAGAGCAGCTCCCCCCCCCCCAGTAAACGATGAACTTGAAGTGGCTGTTAGCAAATACAAAACAGCAAGCAGACAGCACAGGGAATGTAAGCATCTTCGATGGGCAGTTGGGCCCGTTGCCAGTGTGGATATTGGAACAGTGGACCACAGGCAACTACGCTGCAAATGTAGAGAGGAAACCCGAGCGTGCAGCAGTCGAAAAGTTGTCTGAGAATATTCCACAACTCATCATTGCGTTGTGTGGCGCTGGCACAACACACACCTCAGGCACGTGCTGCCGCCCCGCAATTTAAAGGATAAAGGCAGCAACACACAGAAAAAGTGCAACCACACAACAACTGCAAGGAGGAATGGGAGGAAGAAGGCAGCATAAAAGAATGAAGCTTACTGAAGGAAAAAACTATTTGAAGTCGGGTATATCCGTTTAGGAAGCCAACAACTTCCCCTTACATAAGTAGTGGTAAACACACACAAAAACCAACCACACACACTTACGGCTGGAAACACAGAAATACACACGCAAGAAGCAGCAGCGCGCTGTGGGAACGGTAAACGGTGAACGGCGAACGGTGAACGGGGAACGGGGGCGGGGAGTCAAGCTGAGTCGAGAGGCGGCCGTACGCACAGCTTTTTGCCTTTCCCACTCCCCCACGCGCAGAGTCAAAGGAATGTACTTGAGAAGCTTTTCATAGACGTTAAGCCGGAGAGCTGCACTTGTCGTATCCTTCCCGCTGCCTTCCCTTTTCCGCAGCCAACTTGAAGTTTTCATAACAAATAAGAAGGGCTCGATACGTTGAGTAGTCCAAAAGTTAAGCTCAAGCCCGCTCAAAGGCTGCCAGCCAGATAAAATGCAAAGCTCTTGAGCGCTGGGAAACTTAATAAAACATAAAGAAGAAAAAGCTCCGCGCCGCTCCGTAGTTCCATGTCAGCCATGGAATGGCCACCATAATTTCTTAACACATCGCCAAAAAGGGCTAAGCGTACAATAAATAATAAGAAGTAATTTTTTGCACACTACGAACGAAAACTTGGTCTTGAATAATTTGTTAAGAAAACTTTCGGGCCGTGCAGCTACACAAAAAAAATGGGAGTCTCTTTTCATTTTGTTCTGCTAAGATTTTTGATTAAAATATTCATGGGTGGGTGGCCCATAATCCCCCCCCAACCTAGTTCAAGGTGAGCAAACCCAAGTTTCGGGAAATATTTTAATTAATTCTCTGTTAAATGGCAAACTTTCCGGTAGACATTGGGACAATGAAATATGGCTTGCCAGATGCGGGACACATCCTCGGTTTTTGATTTATTTCGAGGGTTAGGGCCACTATGTCCCGATTGAAAGCTCTTCACTATCGCTGGCACAAAGGCCTCATCCAGGGCACGTTCGTGGCGTTGCCCTCGGCTGGAGTGGGGCGCTCATATCGCGACGCATTTATTTCATTGTCGAATCGCACGTTCCAGCAACAGCCACTGGCTGGCTGGCTGGCTGGCTGGCTGGTAAGCAGCATTCAAAGCATTTCGCACCACATATTCCTTTTGACACTCGCTTTAATATTTATGGACTAATGCAGGCATGGACATGGCTCGGAACCCTTTTCTTCCTTTTCTTCCCTCTGCCAGTGGCCGATGCTATGTGGCCACACAGCAGCTTCTTCGCATAAAGTGTCCGGCCCTAGTTTTGTTTCAAGCAATTTAACAGCTTTTGGGTAAAATAACAAGCCCAGCCCAAACATACATGACGACAAACAACAACCAACAAACGGGCAGCAACATTTTGGGAAATGGGCAAAACAAAAAGTGAAGCCAAACAATGCGCCACAAGAGGAGTCCCCACCGTCCACACCACCACCTATGCTGCCAGAACGGAAAAGTGCAAGACTAGAGACAGACCGCGGCAGGGGTATGGTATGGGTACTGCATATTTTTGCAACACAAAATAAACCGCAGCAGCAGCAATTTGTGTCGGTTGTTAGTTTGGAGAGTTGCTTCAATTTACATGGACAGGGCGCACACATGACTAGACAAGCGATCTATGGGGCCATTGGCAACGGACAGTGCCAGTGTGTGTGCCTGCGCCATAACTGAATAAAACCATTTTTAAACAATTACCTTTGGGAGTGCTTTTATGAGCGCGGAAGTTGTCGCAGCAGTCAGAAAAAACCAAAGTAGCAGCCCCTCACAGAACCACAATGTTTGGGTTCCATTAACAACGCTTTAAGGACTCCCCTGCGAGTGTTGGATGTGGTAGGATTTGAATTAGTGTGCTCCAAGTCTCTGGAATAACTCCAAGTCAATATTCGTACATGGAAACTTCCTCTGATTTCCACCGCCCTAGGCGCTCACACACGGCTTGTGCAATGTGCAAACATCAGGAGCAAGTTTTGTGTTGCAGCGGCTAAAAATGTTCAAGGGAATCATAAGTCAGGCCCCGTGGGCAAGACTCACTTGCAGATACGTGAGTTGCATCCACAAACTGATGAACTCCTGGCAGTAGTAGTTCCCATAATTGTGCGACCGAAGCGTTGGTACCTTTATTTGTTGAGTGCTTTTCAAGGTTGTCGCTGCATACCGAAGATCCCCGACAACGCTTTCCACTTACCTCAAAGAAAAACAAATAAATAAATAAGTAAATAAAAAAAGGGATAGACAAAAGAAACACCATTGAACGGCAAATAGACTGCCAGGAGAGCAACATCTATGCCCTGAGGCGAGGTTACGCATGCGTGTCCTAACAGCAGATCCCGCCCACTGCCTGCCCCACCAGACACCAGTCACCAGACACCAGACACCTATCATGCTGAGTGCTGGTAGCGTAGCTGCCACTTCAAACCCTCCAACTTGAATTATGAAATGTGAAAATTGTGTTAAATAAGTAAACAGAGGATGCGTTTGTGCAGCATGCACACACACGGGGCCAGCTCCAGTCTCCGTTTGCCCACAGACACGCTCAAGTCACGTATCCACGAACTGACTTTCACATTTCATGGCAGCCCACCGCCCAACAGAGCAGAAAAAAACCATTTGGGCAACATTCCACCACCCCATTCCCATCCCCAATCAGCCCCACGCTGTACAAGCAGCTGTCCCTTCCAGTCGGAGCCATGCAGCAGTTGCAATATTTGATCTAAAATATGTATGGGTGGCGGAAATTGTTTTTGTGTTAAATGGCGGAAGCAACGGGTTTGTAATTAAAATTTGCTTTAAACTTAATGGAAAGTATTTAATATACAATTGGAATTTCCCTGGCACTCGTGCCCACTGGAGTAACGCTGCTGGCCTTGACAGCGGACGAAATGGAAATGCTGCTCCGGAATGTGGCCAAGCTTCTGATGAAAGAGTATCTGTTCATGCCTTGTTTAACCGAAGTCGCAATGGTTGTATTGTGCGACCCCGACCCTAGCAAATTAAATAGTTGGCCAGCATGGAGGAGTATCTGTTCTGGATAACTTGCACATTTCATTACCTTTCATCTGGTAGGGAGCATGTGAATGGGAGGCCGGAGTCTGGCAAACATTCAATGGCCACCTAAAATATGTAATGAATTTTCTGGACGATTCCAGCTGCATGCAAAATATTCTTTCCGCCTGCAATCCCCAGCCCAGGATCCATCCGTACCCAATAAACCCGTTTTGCATGCGTACAAGTATGTGCATGCCTCAAATAGTTTCCACACATAGGATAGGAATGGGGAGCGAGGCAAGGCCCAGATTGACGCCATGGTGGCCATGGTGCTTATGTATATTTTGGGCCTCCCTCTTTATCATGCTCACTCTCTCTCTTTCTTTCTCGCTCAGTTGGGTCTGTCGAATTTTTTTCTCTTTCCTCCCACCTCCAAAAATTTCGCATGGAAATCTTTGCGCATTTATACGCCAGCCTTAACTGTGCACACTGTCCCGTTATATTGTTGTTGTTGTTGCTGCTGTTTGAGTTTACGTCACGTATTTTTCAGATTTTATCCAGATTGGCATTTCCAATTTCCAATAAGAGTTTCTGAGAATTCTAATATAAGGTGAGGTCAGGGGATCCACTTCCACGATAATCCTCCCATGATTTGCCCAAGTGCGTTGACACTCACTTAACGAGAGAGCAATCATCTAGAATGCCTCACCCCGCCATAATTGCGACACTTGTAACGAGAGAGCATTGTGCGTGGAAGGCTAGCTCTCGCTCTTTTCTTTTTGCTTCTCTCCTTTGATTCGCATATGGTAAGATTTTTTTGCCTAAACTTTTTGCGGCTGCTTCCCTCTTGCAGTAGATTTAACACACTTTTTCACTACAATTTTTTGCACACATGTTTTGCCGCAGCTTTGGCCCCGCATTAGACTAAATACTCTTTTTGCATCTCATTTTTCAACGCCCTTTCCCCCTTTTGCCTTTTCAGCGTTTCCAGGTTGTTTAGCATGCATGAAAAATTTAAGCAACATTTAAATTAGCGCACAAGTTTACGGTGAATTAAAACACGTATGTAGTGTGCAGGTGCACACTCCAAGAAAAAAAGATAAAGAGAGAGAGAGAGAGCGACATCATCTCTCCTCACCTCGGATGGAAACATCGTGGAACGAAGGCGCCATCGAAGTCACGTAGGCTTTTTGAATCATCTTCATCTCTCGGCCTACTGCATGGAATAGTAAGAAAGGGACCGCAATAGATTTGTGGATTTTCTGCAATTTCCTTTTGCACACACACACATGCAGCGCGAGACCTCGTGACAGCACGAACAATTTGTGGGCGACACCACGGACATAACGGAACCTATACTTCTGTGGCATTTTAGCTACATTTTGCACAAGATAAATGCAATACTTGATTTAAATAATGTTGAAATGTTTATGAAATATCTAAAGCACTTGTTGCGCTGCACTTTGAACGCGTGCCAAAAATCGAAGTTTCTATAACTGCGCAGCCGACTTAGTACTCTCTCATTCCATTCTCCCACTCTTTCGCTCATTCCATGATTTTGCTTGTGTGAAAGGTGAATTTACTTACGAGGTGGCGTTGTTCGCTGTGGCGAGGATGATTAACCACAGATATTGGTAGCCGACTAGATATTGGTAGATTGGCCTCTCCTAATGAAGACGTAACCTTGTAAGTAAATCCACCTTGATTTTAGTGTTAAACAACGTTTTGTTCTCTCTTGCTTGCCCACAATAGATTTGTTTATTTCTATATCATTAATGTTGCTAGGCTTCTAAGATATGTATGTAAATAATAGTAAAATTAAAAAAACAAGCAGAGAAAAGAAAAGCGCAGTAGATGGAACGAAGAGAGAATGGCAAAATGGCAAAGGAAAATGCCGCAAAAGAAATCACGCCAAAAGTAGCGCAATAAAAATGCATTAAAATGGCTTCACCAGGAAGTAAATAATTTTGTTGCTCCCTCGTGTAGGACCCGTCGTCGGGGCAGTAGTCGAATTCGTTGTCCCCAACTGTATTTCAATACAATCTATTGTGAACAATTAGGCGCCGATTCGAATGTATTCCGGGTTCGGGGGGCTGCAGACGTCTGGGAATAATATTTTTATGGCCAATGGCGCACATAAATCCCGTACAGCTGGCTTGTAATTCAAAATGGACAGAGGAACGTGCAATACATACTTAGTTCGGATAACGACTGCTCTATAATTTATAGTTTCGCTTGATTTGAGTACATAAATTCCCTGCCAAACGCCTTAACTGTGCAACGCCTTTGGATGCGCTGATCAATGAGCCGAAGATGGAGAACATTTCGTGAGGCGCCTGGGCCAATGCGCTTTTAATGTGTTTTTTGACTTTGCCAACGAACGGGGAAATGGGGAAAGTCAGGCGGAAACAAAGTGAGAGTCGAGAGATTAGGCCAATCAATCAAATGTCATCTAGTTAATTAATCCTGATGCTGCCGAAGGTGAGGAGAATGTGGGCTCTGTTTTTAGTCTGATTGTGAATATTTATAACACGAAAAATGTAAATAAATTGCATGGATTTCATATTCCGAATATTCAGAATAGAATGAGTTTCTCAATAAATGCATACATGCACAGTCCGAGTACATGTGTGCCTGGCACTCCAAGCACAATCAAAAGCACAACCCCACCAGTAATTGCATATGAAACATGAAATTTCACTTAGATTTTCATGCAACTAATCTGCGTAGTACATTTATATTTAATACGAGTACGATATACTGTGTAGCATTCGAAGGACGCCGCCAGTCCAAGAGTTTGTGCCACAATGAATGGTTGTTCAAGTCGGACAATAGCTTAAAAAATGCAATAATACTCAAGTGCATAGAGTATACGTACTCTAACATTAAAAATGCAATAGAAATTTAATTAAATTCCTAATCCGGTGAGCGTAAAGAACACTTATTTACATCTACATATATTTTGGAAGCCATGCAGGGAAGTTCAATTAAAGCAAAACACAGAGTGGGCCAGGTTCACTTTAAGCACAGCTAAATTGAACAACTGGCTTACAATTTAATTAGGGAATAGCAGTAGGAATACTTCAATGACCAAGAGCCTACTTGATTTTCTTGGCTGTCGCGTAATGGGAAAATCGATCAAGAAATGAGTAAAGCAGATGGAGTGCGCGAGTGAAATACGAACATCAGAATCTGGGAAATTATAGTCACTTTGTTCGTGGGGCTATCGACCTTCTTCAAGCATCATGTCAAGTGCATTTAAATCCTAATTTGCGATATTTTGTTCAGTCTGGTTTCCTCTCGATTCTAGTGCTGTGTAATTTTATAAAGCACCAAAGTAGCACTGACAAACCGGCCTTGTTTAACACTGGAAAATATTAGCAGGCCGTGTCACATAATTTATATGTGTTTTAATGATTCGCTTATATAAGTTGTACTCGCTGTTCCTAAAAACCATGGAAAACGCCAGTACCGACAATTTAGCGTCGGTCCAAGAGTGGTGCTCTTGCGAGAAATTACCCAGAGCTGCGCTGCATATGCCGTTGAACTGGAACCTGCTCTGCGAGGTGTGCGGACTAGAGCGGCGTGCTAAAACCGATCCTAGCTCCAGCGATGAGGAGGAGGCCGCAGATAACGAGCTGCAGAAGATGCTTCTAGAGCGACGACGTGTCGAGGAGGCGCTGCACGGAGCTGTTCGCGTCAAGGTGGCCAAGCGAGTCAAGAAGCCATGCTCAATGCATAACTGCAAGAATTGCTTCAAGTGCGGCGGAGTGCCCAAGCCAAGAGCCAAAGAATGCAAGACTAAAGACAACTCGGACTGCTTGGAAGACTTGCCAAAGCCCATTGAAGTTTTGCCGGAGTGGCGTCGTGGGGTACAGATTCCAGAACGCGATCCGACTCCAACTGCCACGCCATCAACATTGCCTTCATCGGAGAAGTCTGCACAACACGCATTCGAGTCCTTGTGGGAGCCATTGCCTGAAGCCTCTCAATCAGTCCGTGGAAAACATTTGGTCAGCCGTCGCCTCAGCGCACCCATCGACGACCCATCTGGCGGGGCAATCTCCAAGCAAGGCAGACTTTTGCACACTCGCCCCAGACGCCCGCTACCGCCGCTGTCAAAAATTTCGGCCTCCACTCTGGCTGAAAAAGAGGCATCAAATGCCCTAGCAAAAGGTGGCGGACTGAGTCACCATTTGACGGAGTACGGAAACCCTGTCCCTTTTGAGTACTACGAGGGACCATCGGAGGATGCACTGGTCGTAGACAGCGCCCTCTCCATGCTGCAGGAGCCCATGGCACTGAACATGAAACCCGTCCAACGTCTGCCCCTGCCATGTCCGTCCTCCACTGGCTCGGATGAGAGCGTGATCTCTGGCTCACCCAAACCTCTCGACATGGTCAAGCCGCCAGTTGCGCGTCGTTCAAGCCCTCATATGCAAACTGACATCACAAAGGTTACACCCTCAGACAGCTGCAACTCCGGAGCTATCAAAACACCCGACATTCCACGGAAAAAATACAGTTTTTTAGAAATTAAAATCATACAAATGATGAAAGGCCTTCGTATGCGCAGTCCTGGACATGATGAAGTAGAAGCGGCAGAAAACGAGCAACTAGAGTCCTACGATTTTAGTAGAGCATTAACTCCACCTAGCCATGAAGTATTAAATGAACATGTAATTTCCTCAAATAAATATCAGACTGATGAACAGTATTCAAAAGATCTATCAATGAAGACCTTGCATGTACCTGGGCTTAGTGTGCGCGGCAGGCTAACCGGTAGGCAGCGGGCGGGAGTAAAACCAATGAGTAAAACCAGATCTCCGTTACGGGAATACAAGGTGGGATCAGTGTGCGACAAATGCGGTCATCAACGAAAGGCTGGCGTTGCTGGTATGCCACATAAAGATACAAAAGGAAAGAGCGTCAAGGCGATTTCTAGAAAATATTCCAATCAATTATCAAGGAAGATCCGAATGGAGGCCGAGGAGCATACAAAAACTTGCAAACAAGTCTCTAGAATCTCTGAAAATGTTGTTGATAAACAAACGCCTGTCTCTAAGAGTGATAATCTTCATGGATGTTCCAGCACTAATTTGGCTAAACAACAATTGGCGGGTTTTAAGCTCAGCTGCAAAGAGATCAAAGATCTTAAAAATCATTTAACCACTCCAATGAAACCCCATGGGGATGCTTCCAAGAAATATCATAGCTTAAGTGGTTACGAAGAGCCTCTAAGCTCTTCACAGACAGCACCAGATTCTGACAATTCTTTCTGCGAAAGTCTGCCCGCTGAATACTTGCCAAAAGAGTATTGGACAGAAGTTACATTCCGGGAGATCCACACCTTGGGAACCGTTTCACATGTCTGTGGCGAGAAGCCTAAAATGGCTGCTCATAGGTCAAATGTTATGGGAAATCTCCAGAAGAGCACCTTGTCGGATCAAGCTGCTACGAATATGGCGATCTTTGAGTTTCGCATGCCTGACATAGATGCCAACGCGGTAAATAAATGTGGAATGGCCAGCTCTCCGCGTATAATAAATAAACCTGTGAGCTCGAGCCGATCTCCCACACCTGTAGCTCACTCTCCAACACCAAGGCGCATGGGGCCTGGCGACGTTCCTTCTGTAAAATACAATAGACGAAAGATCAGAACACAAAGTGGACCAACATTAATGACAAGCCCAAAGATCCTCAGGCAACAAAAGGAGAGCGCGGTGCTGCCTGATGAGCGACAAATGACTCAATTTTGTTATGGCAATGTTCCAGCAACTGGCGAACATCCAGAGGCGAAACTGGGAAGGCGAATACGAAGAGAACATTCGCTGGAGCGCAGCTTCAATATGCTCGTAAAGTCCAAGTTCGATACTCCAAATGCAAAGTCGGAGGCGGAGCAACAGAGAGAGTATTTGCTGAAGATGAAACTTGAAGAAATGATGACAAAGCCAATACAGCTTCTGTCTCCGGATGAAGAAATATCTGGACAATAGTTTCACGAGACTTTGGCCAGACTTAGCTTCAAGTTGTGCACAGAATTCGAGAGGTAGCTTCAAAGACGTTTAGGAAACTTATTTGTTGACCAAATTTTGTTCGTTTATATTTTCACAGAACACACAGATCCGTAGAAGAATGCCATCAACAGTCAATCCCAAGCACGGGCGCAACCCCACACCAGATATTCGTGTGCGTTATCGCAATCCCGTGGCAGCTTTCATGACTGGACTCGCGAGTTTGGCTTATTGGATGGTGTACTGGTTGGCTTATTTCATTATTTATGTGAGTATGAAGAGGAGGACTTGGTCCGATCAGATAGATTGATCCACTCTTTGCAGCTTTCCGGAACTGTTATACTCTTGGGCCTGGTCTGGCCACGACATGCGTGGCGAGTGCTGAACTCCATGCTGAAGCAGGATCACATGGAACGACATTTCAAAGACGAATTATGAGTTGGGTGTATATATTTTTTAATAAAACGTTCGAGCAAGAACTACAAAATGCTCAAATACTCGTGTCTCTTCACATAAGATCAGAATTGCCTAGCTTTATTTTATTTATAATAATAGTTAATTGCGTGTTACACTACTAATTTCATTCTTTATGTAGATATTAGTTCTGCTTTAATTACATTTAAAGTAAATATTTATGCACATCAACGCGTAATATTATTATTTAATATTATTATCAATTGCAATTGTTTGTTGCACTCAACTAAACAAGGCCTCCTTTTGGGCCTGGTGCTCCTTTTGTATACATTTACATAATGATAAGTCAAAAACAAAAATAATAACTGGCTAAAACAGTAGCGAAAACTTGTGTACTGCAGCCAAAAAGAAAACAAAAACAAAATGCTTGTGTTGAAACTTGAAACTCAACCTTAATCTCACGATCAGAGAGAGAGACCCAGCTAATGCTGTCTAATAAAATTGAGACTATCAAATGAAAACTCACGATCGAAGAACTGGGTCACATCATGGTTAAATTACCAACAAGGTGACGTTTTCCACTAACTTATTCACCACGATCAAAAAGACAAGCGCTAGAAAGGCAAGTAATTTCACCATGGGTCAGATCTGAGGTTTCGCTTTGCTTGGAATATTGGGCACGCACAGAGGGGCGCGCATGAGAGAGTATGGGTGTGTGTTGGTTGCTGTATGTACTTGATGTGTGATTCTTGTTCTATGTCTTATCAATTAGCTAGATGTGGTGTGTGGATCATTAAATCTATATATATTATGATTTAATTCCCATTCTTAGTTGCCAGCAACGTTTTGCACCTCACTCGAACTAATTATTTCGTAATCTTTGCTGGATGTCTCCGAATCCGATTCCGAGTTTTGTGGGGTACTGAAAGGGAGAAAAGATAAAATCAGTAAGTGGTTCAGCAGAGAAGGAAAAGGTCATAATTGACAAGGATAGGTGTGAGAATCTATGTGCGCAAGCTTAAGTTAAAGCAAAAATAATAAAAGCAAAACTTACTCAGTGTGGGGAAAAAGTAAATGTTGAATATGAACACCTCCCAACACCTTGGACACAAACCATGAAGAACCATCTGCGACAGTTCCACCATGGAAACCAATTGGGAGGACAGCGATTAAATTTTGCAAAAATAAACAAATTTCTTTGATCGATAAATAAATATACAAATCCTAAGAACCATTCACCATTACCATTTCCGGCTTCACCTATCCATAATCAATTGTATTTACAAATGCATGCTATAAAAAATTAAAATGAACGCGCTCTGAGCATGTAAACAAAAAAAAGATTAATGCAATTAATGGAAAGATACAATAATATTTATTAAGGAACAAAGGTTATACAATTATGAGCTAAAGTTAATGCATGTAGTTTTTGCGCTTTTTGTTGTTTTTTTTTATGGTGGTTATACATACAAAAACAAAACCAGTTAGCGCCATCACAAATTATCAATCATACATTTTAAATTCGAGCAACACATCAAGATTCCTTGTCAATTAAAAAGCGGACCCCCAGCTTACCCAGCTTTGGACTCCTTGGGCTGACTCTGAGACTCCTCGTCGACATCTACATCATCGTCTTCGTATTCGTCGGCTCCGACTTTGCGACGCTTGCGTACCTCCATGTCGGCATCGTGCTCTTTGATAAGCTCAATTTTCTCCGGCTCTAAGGTGGAGACCTCAGCATCGACATCACCATCACCATCACCATCGGCATCGGCATCGCCATCCGCATCCACAGCTGTGTCCTCGGCGTCACTGTCCTTTTCCTTTTTCTTTGACTTTAATTTTGATTTCTTGTCGGTCTTTGAAGATGCGCTGGCCGCATCGCTGCCATAATTACTCTGTAAAAATATATATTAGGTGTTAGTTTTGTTAAAGTATCTCTAAAGCATCCCACGTACCTCATAAAGGGGCCAGAAGGAGGCGAAGAAGCCCACATCCTCGGTCAAGTTGGGGAAGATCCAGAAATGCAATTTGCCGCCAGTTAAAGCCCAGACAATGGTGAACACAATTAAACGCACCACAGTCAGAGCCAGAATGAAAACAAGGAAGCCTGCCGCAGCGATGGAGAGATAGTAGACGCCCTTGCGCAGCAGCGGCGGCCACAGGGGGAACAGACAGATGCCCACCGCGCCCAGCAGGAGAATGAAGCCGAATATCCAATAGTGCAGTGGTATGGGATCATAAATCCAAACGTATGCCTCAGAGCCGTCTACAAAGATTTGCTCGGGATGCATATCCAGCCGAATCTTGCGCTTCTTTTTCTCTTTCTTCTCTTTCTCGGTGGTCGCTGAGGGGCCGTCGCCATTGCCGCTGTCCGCTTCCAGATCGGTGTCTTTCTTATCGTCCTTTGGTTTCTCCTTTTCCTTAATCTCTCCCTTTTTCTCAGCAGACTTGCCCCGTATCTCGTCCAGCGTAACGGGCACCTTTTTGGCGCGATGGAAAAACTTATGCTCCAGCATAACGTCCATGAATTCCACGGCCTGCTCACGTGTCGTGAAGAGTGGATTGTTGCCTTCGGCGAATTTCGATTTCATCAGAGCATCCAGGGCCTTGCTCGAAGTAAAGTACTCGACAACGTGGCTTAAGAATTTGGTTTTCTTTGTCTTAACATTCTTCTTCAGCCACTTGGCGACATTCTTCTCATCCTTCGATGGCTTGTCCACCTTCTGTTGTCCGGGCTCGGCGTATTCCTGAAAGAATATGATTGTCAGTGCATTTCTTTAGCACACTTTCCCATGCTACGTTCGACGTAGCAAAAGGCAAATATAGGCCACGACACAAATTTAGTTCCCCGTCACGCTCTGGCACTCATTCATATATGTAAATGTTGATAGACCCCCTTGCCCCCTGTTTTAATACCATGTCATCGTCGAAGATCTCCTGCTCCTCCTCCGCATCTTCGTCGAACCGCTCGTCCTCGCTCATTTCCACAGAAACACAGAAACAGATTATTTAACTCGAAAATAAACGCAAACTTATCATGCACCATAACCCGACTCCCAGCTCGAAATATGTTTTTCTTCGCTGTTAGCTGTGACGTGTTGCGATCGCTGTGACGGTCTAGAAAGTATTGAATCTTAGCAACGCTTAGTGTCTGGTCAAACGAGTCTCGATCACAACATCAACACAAGCGTACACACATACATGTGTACATATATATTGTACATGTGCCCATTGAAACTTTCCCCAACAACAACAGCAGCTGATAAGTGGGTGCACCTGACAAGTGTGGGTAATTCAAATAGAGAGCGAGAGACGGAGAGAGCGAGATCAGCTTACAAGGCAAGCTTACAAATATACGGTTAACAGCAGCGTTGCCACCAGATGTATTACAAGCGCACAGCTGTTTATTTGCAATTCAGGAAAGGAGGAAGAAGATTGGCCGAAAGTACAGCAACGGAATTTAACCAAATATATTAAATTCCAATATTCCTTTCCCTGTCGGAGTGCGGGGTGGGGGCAGAGTTAATTATAGCCGGTTGCATGCGGGGGGCACACTCTGGCACGCAGAGGAATTGATGCACACATATGTGTGCCTTCGACAGCATTGAATTTAACCCCTCACCACGCAGAAACGCAGATGAAATGTGCCATATGATCCCACATGTCACATATCACTGACCACGCCATTGTTATAAATTAATGTTTTCCCAGTGTGCAAAATCAAAACAAAAAACAAAATCATTACACCAATTGGATGGTGCGCTAACATACGCACACACACATTTGCCAAGACGAAGATTGGTCTTGAGAATCACTTACATCTTTGCGACGACGAGTACGTTTCTTCTCCGACATGCTGGCTCAAATTTTACAAATTACAACTTTTAGATCAATTTTAATAAATTTTTTGACACTAATTCTGCCACACGCACGACTAGTGTGACCGTTGACTTATCGATAAGATATACCGACAGACCCTAGTAAATATACCCTTTTCTTTTTTAAATATACTGTAAATATACCGTAAGTCTAAAATCATATTCCTCGACTTTGATCTTCTGTTTACTACTGCCAGCTATCTAGGAATCTCACCTTTAAAAATGTAGTTTAAATCGAATCATCATTCAAATTTCCATAAGAGCATGGTTAATTTGCATGACTTATCTTTATTGGATTGACTGCAAAGCAAGGTTAAAGCGAAATAGTCAACACACACGCACGATTATTGCTATAAAATGTACCGTCTAAGCCGTAGAAATTTAACGAAATATACTAACACTTCAGGGAACTAGCTCAAAAGGTTCACCTTAACCCACGCAACCCACATCATTTAAACAGCCTTGACAGTGAGTCCAAATGGGACAATTTGATTGACATTGATAGCCCTTCCCAAAACTAAATAACGAATACATTCGGCTTTGGATCACAACCGTAGGCCATTGTGGGTGGTCTTATTTTATGACAAAACTAACAATTCTATTTTTATGTTTAACTCGAACATGAGAGATAAGGGTGTACGAATAGTATGTGTGCTTACTGTAGACATATACATACATATGCACGTACATACAGCTGTAGATCTATTTCGAATGCTGCAGTTAAGCCTTACTTGAACCACCAAGATTAGTGATTTGCTTATCACTGTTATGCCATCCACTTACGTTTCCAGTTAACTCGAGGTGCAGGTCATTATTGAAACATGAAAACAAGAAACTAACCTGTAGCGAACCTTTTGCGGGTGATTAAAACATTTGCATTTTCTTACATCGATTACTATTAAAATTATGTTTTTTATTAATCTTTGTTGTACAACAAAATACAGACTAAATAATAAGTAAAATATATTTATATTCTTATTATTATTAATATTGACCACGCCAATGCCTGGCGCTCAAAGTTTACTGTTTCTGTATGTTAGGTTTCGGTTTTTATTTATTATTATTATAGAGGAGACAACTAACTACTAAACTGTCCTTGGCCCACGCCCATGCGCGGTATTTATTACTCGTTTTGCTTACTATTTATTCTATGACAAAAAAGTTAAAATGTGTGTGTTGCTTGTGCCGGGTGAACCAAAGAGTTATGTTTTACACAAAAAATAAAAGGTTAAAAATGATTGTATAAATGCATAAATAAGTGGTTAAAAACGAAGGGGCTATCTCCTTCAGCAGGGAGGGAGGGAGTCCGTGGTTCGGTACGGTATACTACAGTCAAACATTTGTGTGTTTTCAAGTATTTTTTTGTACAGTTTATTCGCATGTTGTGATTTTCTATACATTTAAAATTATGTATGCATTACTTTATTTTTATTTGTGGGGGAAGCAACATTCACATACATAACATTCAAATACAGTAGCCCTAAAATACAAATTGCTTCATTTTCCTTGGGCTTCCAATTCATTCAATGCTGAGGGGCAACGTCGCATAACCAGCACGCGGTTAAAAAAACCAAGCAAAAAGATAACACAAAAACCCACAAAATTTGAATATAATGCACAATTTTTGAATGTGGCTGATAGATCTGTCAAAATGTAAGTTGCCAAAGGTATTCCTCTTGACCACTTTGCCTCTAGCTAACCACTCTCGCCTTCGGGCAGCTCTAGGCTCTGGACTCTGTATCTTGATCGGCTTGCAATATTTCTTGAGACGTTGATCTGCATAGCAGTAACGCTGGTTTTGTATGTGGGTGGGGATAGGGGGGAAACATAAATGGTCAGGATAACGTCTCAAATGACAATATCAATAGAAAATGCACCAATTATGCATTGATATTGCACGTATCGAACGCCTTTGTCAGTATAGTTTGTAAGGAGTCTGTGGGTGTGGGTGAGCGTGGTTTTAGTGTAAATGTCTACGTGCTGTAAGTTCTGTTCGGTGTACGGGTTTAAACTAAATGATAAGGTATAGTTTAAATTGTAGCTGTGTTAACTAAATGTTAAAATCTGGATCTTACGAATACGGCGCTCGAATCGTGTTCACTGTAGCCCAAGCGCTTGGTATGCTTGAACACCTCATTCGTAATGCTCGTGACAGGCATCGATTGATCCAGATTCTCTGCCATATTCAGTACTAGACGCAAATCACGTTGCATGTGACTTAAAGGCTGCTGCGGATTGAAGTCACCCTTGGCCATTTCTGCAAGAACAACAAGAACACAATAACAATAGTGTCTATAAACATAATATGATTTACGTACCCTTGCCCTTAGCCAGCAGCAGAGGGGATTTCATTGAAGTCAAGTCGAAAATGTCTATGATATCGTTTAGCGAAATGGAAAAACGATCAGCTGCAAAAGGATATGGATATTAAGTGTCCCATTCGGAAGTTTTATTAATATTTGCATACCCAGCGCTAACGCTTCAGCAAGTCCTACCAGGCTCACAGCCTGTATGGTCTGCAAAATCAGGTTCACTTTACAGGCATTACCGACATCTGCTAGAGAACAATGGGGGACAAATTTAATATAACGCTTGCGTTCACATACGCAGTTGGTGGGACCGATAAGACGGTGGGATTCTTTACTTACTACCCAAAAAGAAGGTGTTCTTCGCTATGGTCTTGAAGCAGGAGTGGCACTCTTCAAATACCGTGCGATCGCCACCGGCCAGTATGATGAGCATACCCTCGGCTGCCTCCTGACGCGAGCCATGGATTTGTGCCTCCAGGTAACGCCCATTGCATTGCTTGATGCCCTCTCCAATATCCAGGGAAGTGTCTGGGTCCACGGTGGACATTTCCACGTACGCCTTATTGCGTAGATCCTTCAGCTGCAGCACGCCGCAGTTGCCAAAAACTAGCTAAAATCGTGGCAAAAAGGAGTCAAGTATTTGTTTAGTCCTATAGCATTTCTTATAAACATTTCTAACTCACATCCTTGGCGCCTTTGGGGTCCGAAACACAGCAGAAGATTATGTCAGCCGCCTCCACCACATCCATGGGAGTGTCTTTAACTTCGGCACCGGCTTCGACAAATGGCTGGCACTGTACACAAAATAATTGTTTTAAAAATTCAAGAGTTTTAGCAGCACAGTTCTAGCACGTACCTTGTCGATAGTGCGGTTCCAGACCACAACCTTGTGCCCTGTGTATATCAAATCCTTAACTATAGTCGAACCCATCATGCCCAGCCCAAGGAAGCCAAAGGTCAAGTCCGACGGCACAATGTCACGATCGGCCAATGTGTTGGATCGCGAGTTCATGTCGATGGCCTGTGTCTCAGGCCGCGTAACCACTGGACGATCCAGCAAGGCAATCGCATTGGGTGCACGCTTCGCAGCTAACGATGCCAACAGAGCATCTACTTCAACGCGACGGCGGGCGGTAGGTGATGACGAACTTGCTCCTTCAAAGTTGCCAGCGGCAGCGCCTCCCGACACGACACGCTTGCCCCGTTTAGCAGTCGGTGCTCCACTAGCATTTGCCCCAGTGGGCGTCTGATGTGCAGAGATGCGCCGTTTCTGTGCGGATTTTGTGGTGGAAGCTTTTGCCGCCTTGGTCGCGGACACCGCGGCAGACACCGACTTTGCCTTTGGTGTCCGTTTACCCGGCGATTTTGTTGTCGCTGGCGTCGCAACAGTAACGGTAGGTGAGGCTGTAGAATCTGCATTATTTTCCCCGGCTTCTACGGCTTCGGAACCTTCCACATCCGGGCTGCCGACAACATGGACGACGACACCATTATTGCCATCGGCATCCGTGTCCATGGGATTCTCATCACTATCGACGGCATCTCGTATCTTATCAAAATCAGCCTCCGTGGCATGATTGGGCACACCACAACTCTCGTTTATCTGATCGTCAACCTCGGCCGGATCGTCAATGTATTTGTCAATGTCTGCCATGGCCTGCCGAAAGGCAGCAGGCTTGCTAACTTTGGCCAGTTCATCCTTCCAGGGTCCCTCAAACGGTTTGATATTGTTCTCTTCGATCCATGCACTAAGGGTATGAGAGTATTCCCACATTAGCTTAGCTTACTTGATATTTTTTCATCGCTACTTACAAATTTCTTGAGCCAAAAAAGAACACACACTTGGTATTCGCACGTCGCTGCTGGCTGAGCAGGTCCAGAGGCGGCTCTACAATCTAAAGAAAATTTGTTTATTATTAACCCGAATCATGGACTCACTTCTGCGGGCGCGCTCTAAGATGTCTAAATTCATCTTTTTACGAGCGTCACTCGCAAAAGATACCACGTCGCGCGTCGTCTGCTCCTTGCATATGTACACATGTACAAGATACATTTGCTCGCTGTGAGTGCTTTGGGCTGTACATAATTAAAGCTAGTAGGCGTCCGCGTTTTGATAGCAACCAGTGCGCTCTGGTCCTCACGAAACAATTTTTTAAGTCACTAACAAAGCGGGTGCAAGTGCGTTGTGACGTCGGCAGCGGGAGCAACAGCAACGCAACAGCAGCGGCAGAGAGGCGGCGTGCTGCATAAAAAAGTACAGTCGAAAACAAACACAGCGGCAGTGGCAGAGGCAGAGGCAGTGACGACGACAGCGACGCAGCGTAAACATTCCGCTTACCATGCCTGGCCACGGTGTGAAGCCCTTCATTTTGGCCCTGCAAAAAATATTAATATATTAGAAATACACATTTATTTATGGTAGAATCACGCAAATTTCTATTGGGCTTATTTTCATTCAGCTACAACCACAAAAAGAGCGCGCGAAAAAGCGCCAACGCAGCGACGTCGACGTCGCTCTCGCAGCAGAGACCATCGCGGTAGCATAAATTACATAGTTACATACTACATATATATTGTTTATACGACTGCCGTGACTTCAAGGGTAATCAGAACCCAAATTGTTGAACTTGCGTGGCTTTGTCGAACGCTAATTGCCTTTTTTAAGCACACTTCACTTTATTTGGAGCGCTAACCGAGCGGCCATTGAGGTTATGTGATTGCTGTTGCTTTTAGTCCACACGAAAATATAGGTTTTTTTCATTACATGCACATTTTGTTTATTGTTAACAACACACAAATTTATGTTCTGAGCACTAAGGATTGGCACTCAGCTTACCATATCAAATCCTTGGGTTTGTAAATAAATTTTTCCGTCGCATCGCCGCCCGATAGCGACATTTTTTTGTTCTTTGACATTATGGTGTCTAGGCGAATATTAAACTTGGTTATTTTGCTGCTTTTAATTGCCGACACACAAATTAAATATTTTGTTTGCTGTAGCACAAATAAAGTAGACTATTTTCTTAATTTTTCTTCGTCCCTCTCCACTATTTTTTTTTCTTCAGCTTTGAAAATACAACTCTGTGAAGCGGAAAAAGAAGAACAGTGTGACCGCGGATTTATCGATAAAATATACCGCGACACCCTCAGCAATATACCGAAAATAACCATAGAAAAGAGAGCCTTTCTTGAAATTCAACACGATCTGAGAGCGCGAAAAATTTAAGAAAAATCTTGCGTATGGAAGTTTTGCTACCCTGCGTTGATGAGCTGTCCATTGTATTATTTATAGAAATTTCTACGAATATTGAATTCCCCACCATTCCTTTATTACGTACTTTAATTTTTGCCCATTATATTTATGATGCTTACATACACACACACCTGCACATATGTATGTTGTGTTTATCCCAAGAAACAATTTGGCGATTATACACTCCCGTGGCTCTTTCAGAGAGACTCTTCTATGACACATATTGATGACTCTTTGGCGACCCTTCCAAAATGCTCTCACGGCTCACTTTCTCCCAACAGAAGATCAGAAAAAGATAAGAATGGTTATCACTGGCGATCAAATTCATTGTTTTGGCGAATCGACTGAGACTCTTCCGCGATAGAGATTGTTTGCTGGGTATGCACTTGTCCCGCTAATTTACGCGGGAAACTCACACATCGATCACTAAAATTTAGAATTGGCTGATTTTAACCGTTCTTCTTTGCCGTCCGCGCTCCTTGATAAATTATTAAATTTCCATATGCACAATAAAATTTGTATGTGCTGAGTGTGTAGTCGATCTAGGCTTCTGGTGTTTACTGTGCGTTTTTTAAAGCAACAATTTTCCTTGCGTATTTCGCCATAATGGTGGCTTGACCTAGGGCAGGGGGGCGTTTGTTTATGTTTGAAAATCCATACATCTTTAAGTCCATACACACATAATCACACATCATATTTCTGTTTAGATTCGTGCTGAAGTGTGCATCCGAGATCCACTAGTATTTCAATTGTCCCGGGATTTTTTTTATTAGCTAAAATTGCTGACTCCCGCTATTCCCGTTGCAGGCAAATTTGTGTGTGTGTTTGTGTTCTGTGCTTGAATCTGAACATTGAAAGTTTCAGATCTCCATTTGTATTTGCAACACAGCGAGATCAACTCTTCAGAATCTTTGTCGGATCGTTGGACGGGTAAAATGAATTGCTATTAATTTCTAATTGGTAATTTTTGTTGCAGTTTCTCAACGCTGATTTAATCTCACCTAACAGGATGCATAGCGGAAACAATACGGAGCGCGATTTGGGTGAGTTTATTCGCTATATTAACAAATTTGATGTGGATCATGTGCCTGAATAGACTTATTTGATTGATGTTCCACACCAATAAAGCACCCTCGACGGTTGCTGATCAACCCATTTGCATATTGTTTAGTTTGCTCAACAATTTACCCATTTTATGAGAGATTTTTTTAAGATATAATACGATAATATTCGTTTTTTATGAGGGTGAAACCCCAATACAAAAAGTGAGGGTTGGTCTGGCGTAGTCGCCTAATGCCTTAACTCTATTGTGAATGCCGTTCGCTTCATTTAATCGCTCATCTCATTTACCGTATGAATTAGTGAAATTAAGTGAATTAGAGTAAAACGGCAAGTTGGAGGTCTCCTGTGGGGAGAAAAAAAAAAAAGCTGGGGCGGGGCGGGACTTGGGGGGCCTGTTCACTTCGGTGGGGGGGGGGGGGGGGGGGGGCTGGGGTACTTGGGTCGTCCGTTAGTCCTAGTGCAATGCAAACAAATAGCATTCGACACAAGCACCTCCCTTCCTCTTTTGCGGCTTAAGCGCAAAGTTTGCATTGTTTTGCTACTGCCACTGCAGTGCTTATACTTTCTGTTGTCTTTAACTGTTCCTTTCTGTGCAGCAACGTTATGAGTAATTAGCCAACACTGATATACGGATATAGAAAAACGGGAAAATTTTCGGAATATTTCAAATTTCACATTGCTTATGTTTAAGATGAATTTTTAATTATGCTGTTTAATTAACAATAATTATTTTCAACAATTTTTAGCTAAGCCGGAGGATTGCCAAGGCAAACGGATCCTCATCACTCACTATATCAGCCCTCAACAGTTCTGGTACATCAGTGCCAAGAATGTTGAGGCTTGCAGTGCGCTGGTGCGACAAATGGAGCTGCAACTGGTCGATTACTGCAACCCACATGACCAACAACCGTCCTACTCTGAGTATCTGGAGGTGATTGTGCGGTACATGCTGTGCAGTCCCCCGAAACTCATCCGTGGTGTCATTAAGAAGCGCCAGTCGGAGGAATATCTGGTGTTTGCCATGGACTATGGGTTTACCATAAACTGCTCAGCCAAAAATCTGTGGATTCTGCCAGGAAACTTAAATAAGAAATTTTATGACGTGGAAATGGGAGGAGTGGCGTTCATTACGCCATATAAAGGCAACACATGGACTAAGGCTGCACTGAGCGTCTTTGGGCAAAAGCTGGACGAGGCCCAACTGTTGTATCTCGACATTAAATATCAGGGGCCCATGAACGAGAATTTTGGAATATTGTGGATCAAGTCGAACGGGCAAGCAGTGAATGCAGTCGACTATCTGGAGGAGCGGCTACATGGACGCAGGGAGGACAGCTGCAACATGCCACGCTACCTCAATCCACTGTCCTTTGAGTTGGCGGAAATTAACGATGAGGAGCTGAAACCAGGACTGCGTGCCACAAAAATAATCCAGCTAGTGGCGGCCTCCAATCCTCCATTGGCCATCGAACAGCATCGCATTCCATCCAATACGGAACTCTGTGTGGACAGAAATCCATTCAGACGAAAGCATAGTCCGCCCTGTCCCACCGAGGATCCCATGAAGCTGGAGAGAATTCTTCAGCTGCGCAGCGAACCGCCAATACCGGACGCAGCTCGGCGTTTAAGCAAGGTCAGCGGTTTTACCGACAATTCTGTACAAACGGCACTCATCGGGGGTTCAAACAAAAAGGAAAACGTAGAGGAAAAAGTCGAAAAGAGAAATCAAGTGGAGGGACAATCGAGAGAGCTTAACCTGACGAGTAGTGCCTCGATGAGTGAAGGCGGCTCTCCCAGCAGATACTCTGGATTGTTGGCTGGTCAGGAAGACATCGATAAGAATAAACAACGGAGCGAGAAATCTGAGCCCAAAGCTTGCTCATCTGCAGAAGCTTCCTTTATGACGCAGGAAGCTGCAACTGCCGGGAAAGACGTCGTCGGAGCCGTGCAGAAACAATTTGAGAAGATAAACATCTTATTGGCCAAGAGATGCCTCGCCCACTGCAGTGCCTCAGTGTCAGGTTATTTTGCACACAAAATGAGCGATGCATCTCTAGGCAAGGAGATTGAAAATGCCTTGCAGAAGCTCAGCCTTCGGAATCCTGTCGCCACTCAGTCCTTTGCCTGGCCGCACCTCATGAAAGGCAACTCCTTGCTGGTGGTGAATGCCCCGGGCACAAGTCGCTCCTGGTGCTATTTGCCGGCACTCTGCTCCCTGGTGATGCGCTCCATGGCAGCGGATGGAGAAATTATCAAGAAGAAGGGGCCACTGGCCGTACTGCTTACCGAATGCTCAAACCAAGCCAAGGTGCTGTCCAAGCACTGCTCTGTGCTGATGCAGAACTTTGAAACTCAAAACATAAAAGTGGTTAACACCCACGACCATGCCGAGCCCGAAGTAGTCACCATGCTGCTCGGTTCCTGCGGCATTCTGGTGTCCACAATTGCCAATTTGAATGCCCTGATGGATTATAAACGCAAAGGGCTAGCCCTCTTCGAGCCAGCGCGTCTGAAGCACATTGTCGTAGACGACTACGACCGCATGCTGCAGGCGGCTCCGCAGCTGCTGAACGACAGTCTGAATCGATTGCGACGTTTGCACCCACTGCAAATGCAACTCATTCTAGTGGCCCAGTGCTGGCATGAGCAAGTGTTTCCGAAGCTTCTCAAATGGACCTCCTCGAATATGCTGATCTTTGGGGACTTTCTGGAGGCAGCCATGTACGGGCGCATGAAGCTAACAATGGCAGTGGGACAGTCGCAGCAAAAGCATGCACAACTTTTACAATTCCTTGCCTGCCAGCCGAAGCCACAGAAGCGAACGATCATCTTCTGCAACACTGCAGAGGAGTTGAAGCACTTGAGAATAGTTTTGACCAATGCTGGACATCAGTGTTTGAACATGTCGAAGGCCCAGGATCATGTGAGTTACCCTGTTATCCTTTTTTATGACAAATCTAATCAATCTCTTATTGAAGGAACCACATCAACTGTTGCTCGTCTACGATGCAACGCAGCTGCAGCTGGTGGGACGGAACAAGGAGCTACTCATCCACTTTAGCGTGCCAAAATCGTGGGAGAAGTTTGCCATGCGTTTCCATGTCATGGAATTTCTTGTGCAAAATCGTTTAAACGAGTCGCTAAAGCAGCTCCCGCCAACCGCCTTCACTTCCCATGTGATGCTGGACGAGTGCAACTCCAAGTTTGAATCCTCTTTGATGAAATTCCTCAAAGTCCACGGCCTCTCTAGAGATAAGTTGTCGGAGGAGATGTCTCGCTTACTGCCGAAGGTCGGGGACAGTCTTCCCCTTTGTCTGTACCACGTGAAGACGGGCGAATGCACCCTGAGGCAGTGCAACATGCGTCATCACTTCCTCAAGTCGGACATACAGATTTCGAGTAATCCCTGCCAGCAATCCAAAGCCGTTGTGCGGTGCAAGCCATGCAAGATCTACGATCCGGCTCACATGGCCCTCTGGCCCATGGAGTACATGATGGAAGGGACAACGGTCTGGGTGGATGCGCCATTTCCGGCCAGTCGTTGGATTGCGGAGGTGGAGTTGAGTGTGGCATCAAACCCCAAGCAGCACCAACCAATCCGCATCTCGGACATCTGCCTCGTGCATCAGCAGGGGCTATACAAGCGAGTCCGCGTCATGGACATTCGTTCAGAAGAAGCCGTAATGGTTCAGTTGATGGATCACGACACGGAGTTGATCCAGATTAGACCCTGGGACCTGCTGGAGTGCGATGCTAAGTTCACGGGCCTGCCAATGCTTGCCATGGACGTGAAGCTGCCGTTTGTAGAGCCAACCACAGGAGAGGCCAAGTGGTCGCCAGAGTCCCTCAAGTGGGTTCAAGATACATTCAATGGTCTGCAAGATGAACAATACATTCAAATAACCGTCGATTTCTCCATGCTCGATGTGGTCTACGTCAAGGAAATCATCCTGATCGAAAAGTGCCCAACACTGCGAACCAGTGTGTTCAAATCTGTGCTGCGAAAAGAATTGATCGCGCGAGGATTTGGCAAACCGGCAACAAAAAGCCTTGCTCAGTGGCCCGTGGATACACTTACCTGCAGAGGCTTATCTTTAAGCAGTGAAAAAGAGCCCCAAGTTATGAAAACAGATAGAAAGGACAACGACAAAATTGAAGCTGTGGAGAAATCAGATTTCCGGAGTCCAGGCAAAGAGATAAAAGTATCCTTAGCAGATGGTAAGGACAGTGACAAAATAGAAGCCAGTAGTATCCCAGTGGATGAGCAAAAGAAAGCGAATGCTGATTTCCAGCTTAGTTCCCCAACGTTGGAACCAACTCTAGACGTATCTCAGCGCTCGTTCCTTGAGTTGCTAAATGGCCAGTTAGACAGCGAGAATTTATCAAGTAACGCCCGTCGATTCCTGCAAACAATTGTAGGCGGCGATGAAGGGGACTCAATGGGGACACCCACAGAAACTAGCGAAACAATTAAAAAATCAAAATCGAACCCAGTTCATTGCCTCACGGATGCCGGAACACCAGAGCCATCGAAGGATGAAGCGTTGAAAGCGCTGCAGTGTGCCACGACTCGCGATGGAACATTTGCCTGGCCCATGGTAAAGTGGCACCAGACCCTAAGCCAAATCGAATTAGTTATTGAGCAGAAGGTGCCGGAGTATGAACTATTTGTTCAGCGCAACTTTCTCTCGTATTTTGTGGGACAAACCACGCCACCCCAAAGGTGTTCTATGAATCTGCTGGGTGAAGTGGTGATCGCCTCGGAGAAGCTGCATGGCTACTCGCTGCACATCAAGCTGTCAAAAGTTGGACCGCTGTTCTACTGGCCAACTTTACTCAACTCACTGTACACCCAGCAGCATTCCCATTGGTTGTCCTACGACATCGAGCGTGCCAAGGAGCCGCCCTCCCACATGGGACTGTTGCTGTGGGAGCGTTACATGCGGCAGGTGCAGACAAAACTAGATTCAACAACGGAATCTGTTGAATATGATTCGGTTGATTCCGATCTATCAGACTCGGCCATATACGATGATGCCATGTAGGAGGAGAAGACTTTACTTTGATACACTTTATATATTTCACTTTGTTATTTTGTTGATTTAACAACTATATTACCAGTACATATTCTATTATAATTATCACTAAATACAGTTATAGCTTACAGTTCTTACAGGAATATACTAAAGTTAGTTCCTACGCTGGAAACTATAAAATTTCTATATACAAATAAAAATCAAATTAACTATAATTTTGGCTTCACAAAAAAAAGGCAACGAAAACTGAAAACAAATTCTTTGCAATTGGAAGATTCTGATGAACGATCAACAAAAGAAAAAGAAATACATAAATAAAGTTCCTTAGTTTACGGCTATATCTTACGGATTAATCGATCACTGTTATCGATCATCTGCTGTTGCTGCTGCTGCTAGGTGAGAGTTCCTTTTCTTCTGTTTCTATTCTACAATCTATTCTAGCTATACGTCGGGAGGTTGGCTAAACTATGATTAGGTTAGACTAAGGGCTGAGACTTTGCGTACACTTCCTTTGGATGCTTGCTTGCTCCTTTCTCTACGGTATCGTTATCGTTATCGTTATCGACTAAAACAAACTGCTCTGCTTGGCCAGGCTGCAGCTGTGCAGGGTCATGGTGCCCAGGGCGTGCATTGCTCTTGGTGGCGGGGTCGTCACTGGACCCCACGATAGCCGCTTTCAGTTGGGTCTGATCGGTAGCATACCGTAATGTTGCTGCTGCTGCTGCTGTTGTTGTTGCATCATCATTTGTTGTTGTTGTTGCTGCTGCTGCTGCTGCTGGGGCGTTGGTGTGGGTCCCTGAGATGTTGTGTAGGTAACGGCACAGCTGGCGGGCTGTGACACCACCACGGGAGCACTCACCTTGCGCTCCGACTGCGTACGAATGGGCTGTGGATGTGCCGCATTAGGTTGCGGGGGTGGGGCATACATGAGCATGGGCGGCGGAGGTGGCGATGGTTCAACACTCGGGTGCCGCGCCGGGGGGGTGACTGCCGATCCGTGATACGAACCATAAGAGCTGTCATCTGACTGCGCCGACTGACCACGATTCCTCGGACCCGTTATGCCGTACAGCTGCTGTTGGGGCTGTTGCTGCTGCTGCTGCCGGTCGTACTTATGGCTGCCATCCAGTGGCGTTGGATTCGTTCGAGTGCCATACACAGGCTGGAAGCCCTGCGGCTGCTGCTGTTGCTCCATCAGCTGTGGTGGTGGTTGCATCTGCTGTTGCTGCTGCTGCTGCACATTCACGGGTGCCTGCTGTAGCTGCTGCTGCTGTTGTTGTTGGAGTGGCTGCTGCTGTCCGCGCATAGATCCCCGCATACCGTAGATGCTCTCGCTGCGCTGCTGCATTTGGTTCTGTACGTTCTGGTTCTGCAGGTGGGAGGACTGGGCGGCGCTTACCGCCTGCTGTTGATGTTGCTGCTGTTGCTGCTGCTGCTGCTGCTGCTGCTGGGTGCGCATGGGATAGAGGCTCTGGGCAGGCACTAGAGGACCAGGACGCGGCACAATGTCCCGATTGATGGCCGTGTTGCTCTTCGCGTAAACGGACTGGGAGCGGTTGAGGTTGCTGCGCGTCAGAGTGGGCGAGCGGCAGTACAGGGATCGAGTGCCGCCATAGAGCGGCTCCTGCTGCTGCTGCTGCTGCTGCTGCTGATCGTACTTGGAGGAGAGTGGCGGAGCAGTGTAGAGATTCTGACAGTAGTTGCCCTGCACGGGTCCCACCACACCCGCGATCTGTCCCATGTTGGTCGCCGCGTGCTGTCCGCCTGAGGCACCGCCGCCACCTCCATTGCCATTTGTCTGGCCACGCGGATAAGTTCCCTGCGACTGCTGGTACTTGTTGGGCTTCTCAATATCCATGTCGTAGTTTAGTTCGTCTTCGGAGTGAATGGAGCTGGAGTCGTTATCGATGCTGCCCTTGGTGGGGCGCTGGCTTCTGCGTGAGTTGAATATGTATTCGTACACCAACCCGGAGGCCATGCCGCCCACCAAAGGTCCGAACCAGTAGACCCAATGGTTGTCCCATTTGTTGAGCACAAACGATGGACCCAAAGAGCGTGCAGGATTCAGGTAGGGCATCTGCAAGGAGACAAAAAAACATTAAAGACTTTAGTTTAATCGGTTTTCCTTAAGGATTAAATATTTCTTGTGTCAAGATCTTTCAGTTAACAATCTGCGTCTGGGTTTTGGTTCTCGTTCAGTGCTAAATTAATTATCTCCCCTCACCCCATGAGACCTTCCCCTGTCCTCTTTTGTTCGTTTTTCTCTTTCGTTCTACCTGTGTGTGTCACGTTGCGATTTTTGCGACAGAGTCAACGGCAGGCAGGTGCATTTCTGTTTTTGCTTTCGGTCTCGTTCTGGCTGTGACTTTCGAGATTTCTGTCTGACATTCCTCGCTGAGGTTGTGGTACTTACCGACACAAAGCAGCAGGCACTGTAGGCGGCACCGATGGACATCGCAGAGTTGCCCATAAACTTCTTCATGGGATCGGTGGACACAAAGTAGCAGAGCACGACCATGAATGTCAGTATGAATTCCACGCCAAAGCGTTCCCATGCGGCCAGAGCAGCACTGTGGGATATGGCTGCCTGAAGATTGCCCTGATAGCCAGGCACAGTGACACTGTCGAAGAGAGAGAATGGGAGTATATTTATTAGATTGCTGATTGACTTTCGCTCAAAGTTATTTATTATTTATAACTCCTTTATAACTCTTTATAACGAACAAAACCCTCCAACATTATAATTCCACCCCAAAAACACGAGCAAACCGAATGCACACACATCTACACATAAGTATGTTCCCAAGGTGAATTTACTTTTGATGTGATCTCTATCCCTTTCTACCGCTTGTTTACGTGCGCGTGGTGGATAAGTCATTGGTCCACCCCACAGCAGGCAACGTCACCTGCTAAGTAAATTCACCTTTTATGGCTCTGGTCCCAGTCCTCGCTACCAAAAGTACCGATTTATGAGTAAATCAACCGCTTGGATAATTTGGAAAATATTACGCTACTCAAACATTGAATTGTTGTTGTAGGCAACTCCATTAGACAATCGACTCGTTGGCAAGTAGAGTGTGAGAGGCGGAGTCCTGCTCAAGCAAATATTTAACAAGCACTCACACACTGCATCAACGCTTCTGCTTTTCCCCTGCCCTGCCCTGCCCTGCCCTGCCCCACTCAATCTTCATGGCATGGCAAGCACTGCGGTACTCAGTACTCAGTACCTGGAAGCAATCTACCACACTCCCACCCCCCACGATGAGCAACTGCGAATATCCGGAAATAAATGCTGCTTAAAAGTACATGAGCAAATAGAAAGCTCAAACACTCAACTCTCGAATGGCGGCGCCCCTTACCCAGTACAGCAAAGGTGCAAGCAATGGTGGGAATTTGTCTGCCGTCTTAGCGGCTCTTATATACTGACCTAAGCTGTATGATATGAGACATTCGGCATTCCACTTGCTCCACGTAAATCCTGAATGATGAAATTTTGATCGCTTTGGAAAACATTTGAGGGAACTGCAAAGTTTGGGGAACTTTCTGCCTGTTTGCTCATAAATCTATAAAGTGCTAATTTCACAGAGCTCACGAATGACCACAAAACCCACTCGCCCACCCATACAGCATACAGCATACAGGATACAGGATACAGGGCGTAAAGGCGAGGAAGAGCAACTAAGTAGCCGGAAATGGCAAGAGAAATAGCACAAACTTTTTGTGTGTGTGGAGCAAAGCTCTTCCTGCGCAAATTGTTTACGGAATAAAAAGTGAGACAGCTAACAAACAAACTGTGAAAAACTGAAATTTTGTGTGTGCAACTGAGGATGAGAGAGATATCCAAGTCCCCGGCTCTTGGGTGAAAGGCGAGAGGCCAGAGGTTCTGTGCCATGTGTCAGTGGTTGTGGCTACTGGTTAGCTTTTGGCAGCTCCTGCCACTTGAATCCCCAATCAAATTATTCCCTTAGATCTACTAAAAATGTGTATTGCTCTATGAGCACTGAAGATATCTGGAGCATAGGCTACCCGGAAGCACTAGCAGGATGCCATTCCCATTCCCATTCCAATGATAAGCCAAGCGGAGAGAAGCACATAATAAAAGGGGTTCGGATGCAGCACTGAGAAGCGGATTTCGTAATTGAATTGCTTCATGTGACACGAATTGATTTCGATTTCGAAATGGTACCTTTTCCTATTCACCAAATTCAAGTGCAGGAAGTGCATTTCCATGCTAGATACAAATCAACCGAAACAACTCCTGTTCCACCACTGACCAGCTCCTCCCCGGCTGACCTGCACTCATCTGTGTGTGTTCGGGTGTTCGGATATTTGTATCTGTTTCGGTTTGGGTATTTAAAATTTAAATTTCCGCTTCGAAAATCCTGTTTTTGTGTGTATCTCTTTGGAATACAGTAATTTGTGGCGGCAGGTGTGCCCTTCGTGCCGTGAATATTTCCAGCTGCCCTCAAGGGTCTGCAGTCTGACCAACCAGAAAGGAGCAGTGGAGCGGCCACGGCGACGACGACACGTGTTTGATTTCAAGTTTCCGCAACGCCGCAAGCCACGTCCTGCGCAGGCGCAACCTCGCACAAAGGCAAAGTCCACTGGAAATGTTAATTATGTTTTTTTCTCTGCTTTCTGTGTGTGTTTCGGCCTCTACCTGATTTTTATCTTTCATCATTTTCAAAGACTTCTCCTGTGGCACATTTTTGGAACGTGCTCGGCGCGCGTTTCGACAAAGTCCGGGCAGAAATCATTGAAATTGAAATGCGAGGCAGTGCTGGCAGCTTAAAGACTATTCAAACAATGCCTGAGCCGGATACTGATACTCCCGCAAGAAGTGCTGCGGGTTGGTCTCCGTCTGCCTGTCGCTGTACTCGTCCCGCAATGTGTTTTCAAGCGTTATCCTCTTCGAAAAAAAGATTATGAAGTACAGGAAGACTATCTGCTTCGTCTCCATGGCCACATGTGGCAGTGCAATTAGGGTAAGTGCCAAGTGACATGTGAAAACAGGAAGGAGAAGCCAGCCAGCCTCGTGGTGGGAGTTGAACAGTTAGGCATTTAGAGAAACTCCCCCTTAGCGGAGTAACAAACCGGGTGGTGATGCCATAGACAAAGCAAAGATACAAACCAAATCTAAAGCA